TACCTCATTCATCAAGCAGACTGAAGAATCAGGGAAAAGTTGCAGAAGTAAATCAGGAGATCATGAATTAAGCTTTGCAGGTACCTTGGCTGTCTGTGGAGAGAGCTTCAGTTTAGAAGATGCACCCAGGTACACAGAGATAGCCCTGAAACCACCTAACACCTGTCTTGAGCACCATGAGTAATTGAGGCCCCACCTGTACGATAGACCTACTGAATGTCCACTGTTAACTCATTTGACAGAGACCCAGGGAATGTAGGTTAAAAGTCTCCAGAGTTAACAGGTAGATGTGTTGAGAGGTACAGTCTTACACAACACTTCCAGGAGTCTAGGAGTCCAGATGTTTTCCTGTTTTTTATTTTTAAGTGTCTTGGACTCGACCTTTGGATAGTCCTGATAGCTTTTATTCTGCCTCATTGAGTTTGAACTTCAGTGCACAAGGTGAAATTTGTATTTTGGCCCCAGTGGCCCTTTTCATATATGATTTTATTGTTATTGTTTATCTACTAAAGATAAGGTTGCTGAAAGGCTTTTTAGTTTTTATTGTTTGTTTGTTTGTTTGGTGGTAGTGGTATTGGGGATTGAAACCAGGGCCTTTGTTCTGAGCTATAAACCCAGGTCTTTTTTATTCTGAGACAGAGTATTGCCAATCACCAAGTTGCTCTAGCTTTGTTTACAATTTGTAATCCTCCTGCCTCAGCCTCCCAGAGCATTGGGATTACAACTGTGTGCTACCATACCTGGCGGTTCTGTCTTTCTACTGTAGCACTTCGCTGTTCATAGTCCTTTCTGTTTCACTACTAAATGCACACTGTGGTCATTACTAATCTCTAGACCATGCACAAAGTTTTTATCTTAATTTCCATACATTAGTTAATAATAATGATAATGCAACAAGATTTGTATTGGCTTATTGTGACAAGCATATCATTATATTATAATATGATATATGAGGTTTATTATACTTTGAAATGATGGAAATAATAAGGGGAACCTGGGATGGGATATATGATGATTGTAATATTCCCTTGATTGTTACTGTAAATTTAAAATTTTTACAAAATAAAAAGTTAAGATAAAGGAGTAGGTGGCTCTTCATTGAGTACAACCACACCGTCTGTTAGGGATGAAGGACGGGAGATAGAAGGAGCTGTGCCAGGCTGGCAGAGACATCTAGACCTGGCCACGAGAGCAGAGATTGACGCCGCAGTCTCGGAGGACAGAGACAAGCATCCTCTAACTTGGGCAACATTCTATTACAGGCCTGGCAGGGTGTTACAGCCCATTAGGGTCACTAGGCTCCTGCTTATTGCCACCCTTCCTGGAGATATCTTTCCTCTTGAGAAGCATCAGCCTGCTCTCCTTAACCACAGAACCCTGAAATGAAACCAGCAGTGCAGAGCTTTTCTAGACATCCTTGTCTTCATGACTTCTCAAAGTGCTATCTTCCCATACCCCACACATAACTTTCTGTTTCTTTTGTTTTGTTTTTTTAGTACCAGGGATCGAACTCTGGCCCTTGTGCTTGTGAGGCAGGTGCCAGAACCACTGAGCTAAATCCCCAGCCCATAAGTTTCTGTTTTACTGTCCTGTTTCTTTGCTTGAATTTTCAGCTCTGGCCCAGTTTCTCCCTCTTCATTTCAGCCCAACTCTTTTTCTGGCATGTATAAAAATATCTACTCCAGCACCGTTTCTGCTTGTTAACTCATGGTTAACAAATTATCAATGTTAGAATGCTGGTTTTCTGATGATGGTAACAACCCATCATACTATCAAAAATTGCAGCCTAATTTCTTTTGTCCCTGAGTTTCTTCATTAGCCAATGCACTGGGCACCTTATGCCCAATGAATATCCAGTTCTTCTTCTGAGCATACCAGGGGCATATTGTTTCCTGCCTTCCTTAAAGCTATTTGGACCAGGTGACTTGCTTTGTCCAATAAAACGTGATGGTAGTGGTTCATGCCACTTCCTTGTAGGACACTTACTTGCCAGTGTATGACTCTTCGGGCTGCTCTACCCCTGCTGTGCTGATCATGGGAACAAGTGTTGAAAGGAGGTGCCTCAGGATCAAAGCAGCCTGAAGTACTGAGCCCGCGCATGGAGGACAGCTGCCCTGGAGAAGTGCCCAGACAAGCAGGGGATTTGGGGTATGAGTGAGCAAATTGTGTTGTGTTAAAAAGAAACTATTTGTGGGAATGCTTTCACCACTGCATAACCTGGAATATCTTGACTATGACTGTTGAAGAGTAATCCCAAGAGTATAATACATTGTTAGTAATTGATGATATCTTAATGTATTACCTCTTCCAGAGTATTTCCATTGTGATAGGTGATCCCAGGAGACAAGATATCTTAACAGAGAGGAATAAACTACTAATGATGGAGTAGAAGACCCTTGGGCATATTACAGAAGATGACATTTTGGGATAAGGCAGTCTTTCTTTGCCTTCTAATCATACCATGATTGTATCTGGACAGATAATTATTCACATGTGTGTGTGTGCACACACACACACACATACATACACGTTTTAGGAGCACAATTTGTGACAAATGCAGAATTGTGGTGTTCAGACTTTAAGTTCCCCTTTCCCATCCATTCTGAATATGGCTAGCTAATGTTGCAGGTTTCTCATCATAGCCTCAGGATGCTTTGTGCCCTTCACTTTTACAACTTGACTGTCTTCCTTTGTAATATTCCATAAGTCACTGTAATAATAGCGTTTTTTAAAAATAATTGCGTTTTTTTAAACGCAATTAGATTTGGAGAAGTTTAGTTTACTTCAAAAGATGCTTGGAGTTGGATGTAGGGGTGCACACTTGAAATTCCATCACTCTGGAAGGCTGATAAAGGAAGATCATACCTGGTCTGGGTAACTTGGCAATTTAGTGAGATCCTGTCTCAGAACTAAATGTGCAAAATGAAAAGGGTTGGATTGTTGCTTAGTGCAAGGGCCCTGGGTTCAATCACCCGTACAACCAGCACCCCAAAAGGGTGAAACCTTCCATCACTTTCTCTCTCTCTCACTCTCTCTCTCTCTCTCTCTCTCTCTCTGTCAGCTGCTTCTATTCATTTCAGTTTTTGTAAGTTAACAAATTTCATAATTGAACCATTGACATCATCTCAATTCAAGTCTTGTGAGGGATTCTCCCACTCAATATGAATCACCTTGCTTTCTACCTCCACTCCTGGGACAGAGCAGTACATTAACAAATGTTTACTGATTGATTGCGAAGCTCCTTGAAGTCATTCACCCATATTTGTATATTTCCTTCAGTATTTCACAGAGAGCTTTACCATAGACCTGCCAGGATATTTGCTGGTAAGACACACGCTGATCAGCATGCACCAACATTCACCAAGGAGTATCTTGACTGTGACGGTTGAAGAGTAATCCCAAGAGTATAATCCACTGTGACTCCTTTTGCCATCTGTTTTCCACAACTTCCCTCCTTTCTCTCTGCAAGGAACCATGCACCTCAATCTCTGTTTAGAACGTCTTCCCCGTCCCTCACCTCACCTATTCTCCCTTGAGCAAAGCTATTCATCCCATAACGTCCCGCTAAGAAATTATCTTCTCTTGAAGCCTTCACTGCCTTCTTAACACACAGAAATAACTCCCTTCCTTGAGCTCCTGTTACCGGTTCAGGGCTTACCCCATGCTATTCCACTTACTGCTTGACATGGTTTCGCTTAGCCTTGAAGTTTCCAGGGTTGGAACTTATTTGACTTTGATTCAGCAGCACAGTAAAAAATCACAAAGCAGGTGGTCAATAAATGACTGCTGGATGAACGAATGAATTTTACAAGGAGAGAACAATCATGTGAGAGACAAGAAATAAGTGCAGCCGTTGAGTGCTTTGTCACCACAAAGTGCTATTAACATACAATTGGCACCAAGCTCCTTGGCTGCCCCTGCCTATCTCTCACCCTTTATCCTTTACCACAAAGCCAACAACCATTCTTCAATCAATGCCCTTCCCTTTCTCTGAACCCTGTCTAGTTTGTACATTTTTTTTGTCCTTAGATGCCTGAAGCCTCTTCATATTCAGCCCAAAATAGCACTGACCTTTCAGCTGCTGTATCACCTGGCAGCTCATATCTAATTTCCTTTTGCAAGAGCCTCACTCACTTGCTTTTAACATTTCTGCTTTCCAGGTTTCTCCCGCTGCTGCATGCTGTGTTGTTGATTGTGTTTTTCCCTCAGAGAATCTGGTTTCCATTTTTTTTTCTTGTTTGGACTCTCTCTGGCTATTTATCCCCCCACCCTAGGACTCCAGGGTACACAATGGGGTAGAGGTTAGGAAATGGGAAAGGTAGTTCTTTGGGATTTCTCTTCTCTGGGAAACACACCTCGGCCCTAGAAAACAGTCTTGCCCCACTCATTCCGTCCCTGCCCCCAAGAACCTGTCTTTATCGGATGCTGGCCCATCTTTCACACAGGGTCAGGTGATTTTACTGCATTGGTATTTTTTGTTTATTTCTACTATCTTTTTGTTTTGCTGTGCTTTAATTGCATTTTCTTTCTTGATGTTTTTCTTTATTTTTAAATTGAGTGATACCATCATGGTTTGCATGCAGAAGAACCGGGGTGATATCCTAAGAAAATTCTTTCTCAGCAATTCTTTGGAGCCACCTTCCTTAGGGGCCAACTTCTGAGTCTCGCTCACAAGGGTCCTCCACAAGATGGCTGAGAAAAACTTTTATACCATGGGTTTGTCTATGTGTCTCAGGAGCTGAAACAGTTACTCAGAGTCAAAAAAGAATCCATAAAAGTCATAATATACACACTTATGAAAACCACTGATTAAAAATTACAAATGTAATTTCTAGAGTATTCCTGTAGCCTTATGCTTTCTATGCTTATTATACAAGTCATATTACTTCAGGTCAGAATAGCCTTTATTATCTGATTGCTTTATAAGGACCCTAGGTATCTTCCCATGAATCATTCTGATGGCACTTCCCCCTTCAGAGGTTACTACTCACCCAGATGTGAGCTCTTCCTCTCTCCTCTGAGATCGTCCTGCTTCGCATTGTCTCCGAGCTTTGCAGCTTTCGGCACAGCCAGCCTTAGAGTCAAGTTCCATAGAATGGAGGTGTGATCACTCCTTCTGCATCTCAGACACCTTGGGAAGCAGGAAAGCCATCTTATTTAGTCTCGTGGTTTCTACCAAGAAAAGCATTAATGGTGCATTGTAATTTTTCTTTCATAGTGAAGAAGTGTACACAATGCTGCTGAGATTCTCAGAGAGCTGGGCTCTCCCTGACTTTTACAGCTTGGAAATTACGAAAAGCCCTTCTAAATGTAAGTGTTCTTGAGGTGACCTCAGTGTGACCAGTATTTGGCCTGTGTGTGTGTGTGTGTGTGTGTGTGTGTGTGTGTGTTGAGGAAGGGGTAAGGAAAAGCAGGAGCAATGGGGGAACAATGAGGGATTGCTTTTAAAGCTGGTAGTAGACTATTTTTCCTCAAAGGAACTTAGTTGTGACCTCTGCTACTAACAATATTGTAAATAAGTACTTTAACATTTAACATCGAGAATATTTAAGTGCCAGGTTCTGTGCTAAGTGCTTTCTGTGTAATTCTCGTGACAACCCTGAGATAGGTGTTATCCTTATCATAATCATGTAATGGGTAAGGACTGAGAATCTAGCCAGAAAGGTTAAGCAATTCATCCGAGGTCACACAGCTAGTAAAACGGCCGCGGTTGAACTCAAGTCCACCTACGGGATCCGTTTTCTTAAGCTGCAGTCTACTTTGTCTGTCTCAGCAGGTAGAAACCCCTTCATTCTCCTCATGTTACAGCTTCTTTCCTATGATCATTAGTGCATATTGAAGGTTTTTGAGCATGGCTGTCATATGATAAAAGGATTACAATTTACACTGCCAAAGAGAATAGTAACTGTAATTACAACTATTTATAAATGACACTTAGACTATTTATAAATGACTCCCACATGTCAGGGACCTCTGCACTTTCCAAACAATCATGCCTACATTTCACAACAACCCTATAAGGAAGGTATCATTATCTTCATTAAACAGACAAGGAAACTAAAGGTCACGGGGTGAAGGAGCTTTCATGGAGCCCAGCAGTCAGTAAGTAATAAAGTTAGCATTTACCTGCTGTAATGCCGCTGATGAAATCCTGTGCTACCTGCAGAGCTCTGGAAAAATAGAAGGAGATTACATTAGCACTTACTTTCCTCTTCCCGTTTAGGAAGGTGTTTATTATTATTGCTATGCCTAAGGGCCTTTTTGGACTTAATGGTACACATGCTAAGTTTAGATTATTGCATTAGTGGGCTCTGATCCTAAGCCTGTATTTCCAGAATTTTCTAGGCAGTGTTGGGTGTAAGTATGTTGAACATTACATTGAAATTTGTTTTCCCTATAAAGCTGTGAATCACTGAAAGGCAGGATGAGTTCTTTTTTACCAACTAACACCCAGTCCCTGGTAAATAGTTAGTAAATAAAAATTCAACTGAATAGCTCTTTCTTGTCATTTTACCTGTTTTCATTCATCATTTTCCTTTATTTGCTTCCTGTCCTTTCTTTTACTGCCTGCCTTGTTTTAGTTTTAATTGTTAGATTAATATTTATTTGTAATATACAATGATTGTATTCACCTTGGGAAATTAGTGTGTAGGTACACTTTTTATTCATTAAGCTTATTAATTTTTTAGGAATACAATATGATATTCATCATTGGAAATTTGTAGCTTTACATGATATTTTTTGTCCTTATTTTCCTCCATTCCCCTGTCCTCCCTTCAACCCCCCCACCTCTCCCTGTTTACAAAGACTTTGTTTCCATTTTCTCATATTTTTTCCTTTCCCTTCTTTCTTTTCCACGATGCCTCCCACTTCCCCTTTCTCTTTGGACCTTTTCTTCCTATTGCAAATTATCTATTATACATTTAGATCCTTATTTACACTTTCAGCTCCTTACATCAGAGAAACTATCTGGTATTAACTTGTGTGTTCTATTTATTTCGCTTACGAGTATGGCCTTAATGTGCATCCATTTAGCTATAAATGTCTCTAGTTTCTCATTTTTTATTGTTGTGTAGTACTCCAATTTATGGAAAAAAAAACCCACCATATCTGTATCCAGTCTCCAGTTGATGGGCAAATGAGATGTTTCCAAGGTTTAACTATTATAAACTGTGCCACTGTAAACATGGGTGTATGTGTATGTATGTATGTATGTATATATATATATATAGCTGTGATACATTTCTGTTAATTGTTTTGGGAAGATACCCATCAGGGGAATAGTTGGGTCAAATGGAACCTCTAATCCTAGTTTTTTGTGGTGTTTCCCTTCTGATTTCCACAGTGGTCGCATCAGTTTATACTTCCACCAGAAGTGCAGAAGGGTTCCTTTCTCTCACAGCCCCACCAACTTGCTACTGGTTGAATTCTTGATACCAGCCATCCTTTCTGGGGTGAGGTGAAATCTCAGCATTGTTTTCATTTGCATCTCTCCAATGACCAGTGAGGATGAACCTTTTTTTGGATGTTTATTTGCTGTTTCGAAGTCTCTGTCTGAGAACTGTCCATTCATTTCAGATTTTTGCATTGGGTCTTTACATTTGGGAGGTCTGGTTTTTCTTTTAAGTTCTTTATATATAATAAATATTAGAGCTTTATCTGAGAACAGCTGGTAAAATTTTTTCCCCAGATTGTGGGTTGTCTTTTCACTCTGTGGTTGTTTCTCGTTGCACAGAAACTTTTTAGTAAAATGAGATCCCCGTGGTTTACCCTTTGAGTTAGTTGACCTCTGACTAGGATTTTGTTCATAAAAATCTTTTCCTAATGCAGTGTCTTCAAGAGTTCTACCTACCCTGTCTTCCAGCAAGTTTAGTGTTTCTATTTCAATGTTTATCTTTTTATCCATTTAAATTTAATTTAGCTCATGGTGAGAGATATAGGTCTAGTTTTAAGGTTTGGCAAATTGAAACCTGACTTTCCCAGCACCACCATTTATTAAAGAGGCTATCTTTTCTCCAGTAAGGGTGCTTGGCTCCTTCATGAAAGATGAGGTGGATGAGTATATATCTGGAGTTGTTTGTGCATCTTCTAACCTGTTTCATTGATCTTTGGGTGTGTTTCTTTGTAGTACCAAGCTGTTTGTATTATCGTAGCTTTGTAGTATGGTTTCAAGTTTATGATTGTGGTACCCCCTAACTTGTTTTTGTTGCCTAGAATTGCTTTTCTATTGTAGGTCTTTTCTGGTTCCAAGTGAATTTTTGGATTGTTTTCTCAAGTTCTGTGAAGTATGCTATTGGAATTCCAATTGCAATGGCATTGAATCCATATAGCTGTTTGGGAAACATGGCTATTTTCACTATATTGGTTCTTCCTACCGAGGAGCAAGGGATGTCTTTCCATTTTCCGATGTCCTCTTCAATCTCTTTTTCCAGAATGCTATAGTTTTCAGAGTAGAGGTATTTGATTTCTTTTGTTAGATTGGTCCTTAGGCATTTCATTTTTGGATGATTTTGTGAGAGAAGTCATGTCTCCAGCTTGTCTCTCGTGTGTCTGTTCATCACATATGTACATATTTTCATTTTCCCTGCCCTTCTCTACCCTTCTCCCTTCTTCCTTAGATTCCCTTCCCATCTCAACAGCATCTGTCTCCCTGTTTCCTATCATACGTCTTTTATTTTGCTTTTTAAATGTTTATTTTTGGGGTTTCTTGTGAAAGAAAGCATTGTTGCCTGCCTTATTTTATAACCAGTGATGGAGCTGCTGTAACATCCACAAGTACTCTGTCACCAGTGGGACAAAAGAGTGGCTAGTTTGTCCTGGGGAAATGGCCCATTCCTGGAGCAGTCTTTCATGCCTTGGGAGCACAGCAGTGGCTCCCTTCCCTAGTCTCATGGAACACTGGCTTTTCATACTCCTATTTAGCAGTGCTCCTGTTCAAATTCATTAATTAATGAAGATTAATCAATAATTAAGCCTTCTATAGCCACCCAGAGGCCATTTCATGGTGCAGCGATGTATTTATTGCCTCATTCAGCAAAAGGACTCAGGCGCTCTCTGGTACAGCTCACACTCTGTGGTTTCCTAGAGGATGCCTGATTGGCAACCTTGGATGCAAAGCACTTCCCTTGTGGCCCGTCTCCCATGGAGGGGCTTCAGCACAGCTCCCCCAGGCACAGATGCTGCCTGCACCAGCCTAGACCTCTCAATCTTTTCCTCACAGACAGTGATCTTGGGGTCCTCAAGCTGATCTGTGCTAGGGCTGGGTAGAAGCCAGATGGCTTGGGAACAGTGCCTTCAGTTGATACAATGAATCCCCCAGAGTTGCCCTGGCAGCAGCTGGTACTTGTTGCTCACTGGAGGCACTGCCATGAAGTTCAAAACTCTATCCTAGCGTTACTGAAGTTACCCCTGTAGACCATAAAAGATATAAGTGGAAAGTCAGTGAGAAAGTTTCCAGCCACTGATAACCTAAGACCTTCTTCCCAGGAGTTGCATTCTAAGTTACTAGGAAAGTGAATGCTCCTTTTTAACTAGGTGTGAAGTGCAAGAAAGGACACACATCACAGACTGAGTAGTTATCTGCTCATTGATTGGCAGTTGAGCCCCTGAGTCTGGCACTAACTGCTGTGTGACCAAGCTAATGGATACTTATAATGATGACATAAAAATTTCCACTGCTGATCAAGTACCTATTAAATTCTGGTTTCTGTGGTACGTATTTCTCACATAACAACAAGAGGAGTTGCAGTATAAGATAAGGAATTCAAAGCAGAAGGAATAAGGAATTATAAATGGAGCTAAGCTGGTAAAAATACTTTCTATTGATTTCTCCCTTTCTTTTCTCTTTGTTCTAGTATAACTGATTAGGTGAGTATGGCAAAGCCGCCTAACTGGAAATTCCTTTACTCCTGAAAGGCTCTGCAGACCAGGATGGAACACAAAGAAAAAAGGTTTGAAGCAAATTTGTTAGGCCTACCTCCACATCAGCCATTAAGGGAGCAGGGGGAAAGAATTCTAACCTATTGATACATGGACTTGTGGTAATATAGGGATTAACTCCCTAAAAAGTGCTATTAGATTGGAATAAATTCTATTCCGCTGATGTAACAAAATTTAAGAGTTCAAGATCTTAATCATAACTGATTTAAAATAGAGGTGACAAATATAATCATTCCTATTCTATGACTGTAGAAACTGAGGCTCAGGGAGATCGAATATCTTATCTGTGGCCACTGAACTTATGAGTGGCTGTGTTGGAGGTCAGTTCAGTATGACTCCAAATTTCCATCTATGTAATGCCTGTGTAAATA